AGCTCAGAGCCAATATCTAGAGAAATGGATAAGTTGAATAGTTTCTTTTTTTCCGGTGGTGGTGGGGGTTCTTCAAGCTTCAAAAATGGTGAAGGAATGGAGTCTGAGTTCTTTAGGAGCAAAGAAATGATGGGTTCTGATTTTTTTCAGCAACAGTCACAGTTTCAGCAGAGTAATTCCGGTGGGTTAACGAGGTACAGGTCAGCTCCAAGTTCGTTTTTCGCCGGAATTCTTGACGGAGACGGGAATAATTCCGGTGAAAATTTCATTACCGGTGATGGGTCTTCGAGTTCTGATTCGGATTCCATGTTCACCGCCTTATTGAACAATAACGACACCACCAACAACAATGGTACTCGAGATATGAATGATCAAAACCAGAAGAATCAGCTTCAGTTTGGTACTTCTTTGAAACAGGAGATTGGTGAGGAGATTGAATTTGGGAATGAAAATGGTGTACAAAATAGATATGAGAACGGTGGTGTTTCTTATAGTGTAGGGGTGCAAATGCAAACTAGAGCAAATTTGAGTAATGGAAATGGTGACTCTGATCTCATCAGACAAAACAGTTCACCTGCTGGATTCTTCAATGGTATGCTGCTTTACTCTTTTAACTTTTGATTTGTTCAATTCATGAAAACATCATCAGATTCACTGGCTTAAACTTTTGATTAGTAGATTGATTATGTGACTTTTGTACAGAGAGTTTACTTCTAGTTAATTTTAGTATCTATGAAGCAATTTGTGCCTCTATTTGAACTTTTGGTTAATCTGAAAATGGTGTGAAGCGATTAGTAATGTTCTCGATGATGGCTTGATGCTTTTGATATAGTTTTGATATAGTAGTGATCAGAAATGGGGAAAATTGTTGTTTATTTACAGGATTTATGAGAGAAGTTGGGAATTTCGGAGCAAGTGTTGGGACTAACAGGGAAGCAAGTACATCAACTAATGGTTTCAACAATCATATAAGTTACTCAACTAATCAATCATCTACCTCAAACTTCATGCCTAGCATTGCTGAGAATGAATCTTGGAACGACGCGTCGTTTAATTCCTTGAAGAGAAATAGAGATGGTGATCTGAAAATGTTCTCTACTAATTTCAATGGAATGACTAATCAGGTAGCTATTCTAGTTTCTGTCTGTTGTTCTTGTTGTTGTATCTGTTACTAATAAACGTTCGTTTTGTTTGTTAGAATGACGAATCAAGAAACTACACTTCTTCTGGTTTATCTCATCATTTAAGCTTGCCTAAGACATCTTCTGAGATGGCTGCCATAGAGAAATACCTACAGTTCCAACAAGATTCAGTGCCTTGCAAAATACGTGCTAAACGAGGCTGTGCTACGCACCCACGAAGTATTGCAGAAAGGGTAAAAATTCTGTCTTGTTTACCTAGTTTTCCGATTAATCATTATGTTTATACTTGAAGTGCATAACTATGATGAAACTTGTTGTTCGCGTTAAGTTCTCATTTTCTTGTTTAACAATTTGTGTAGATGAGACGTACTCGGATTAGTGAAAGAATGAAAAAACTGCAAGATCTTTTCCCAAATATGGACAAGGTAAATTCTAGTCATGTTTGTTGTATCAATCAATTTTTGTCTAAAAGAAGGTAGAAAGAACTCAACTCACATGTTCTCTTATTGAATGAAATGGCAGCAAACAAACACAGCTGATATGTTAGATTTGGCAGTTGATTACATTAAAGACCTTCAGAAACAAGTCCAGGTAATGACCAAAAAAAGTGTTTTTTCTCCATGAAGTACTCACATGAATCAATCTCTCAAGCAACATTTATATCTTCTTTACCAAATTTACACTTATTTAATGCCAGACACTGACCGATAAAAAGGCGAAATGCTCGTGTACAAGTAAGCAGCTGCAATATTCAAATGGAACAACATGAAATAGTCTTGTGTACAGATAGTAATAGGTGAAGTTAGATGGAAAAGGAGAGTAAATAAACTCTCTTTCTACCCTAATATGCTGGAAATATGGTTCTACTTTGTTTTTATTTTGCAACAAGGCAAGTGTAGTTTTCAATGTATTATTGAGTTTGATTAGATCTAATAACAGTCTAGTGAGTACAATCTAGATGTATAGGAGCACATGATTATTGTATTATGCTGTTGTTTATTGGAATTTAACTATGTTATTAGTTGATTCAAAACTTTATAAGACAAATAATATCGATTGGAAAGAGTAATTCCAAAATCACAATCCTTTTCTAAATTTTATTTATTAAAAAAGCTTAGTGCATCGTGTTATCGCAAGGAAACAAACCAATGGGGTCATGCACTATGCAAATAAGTAAAAGTTTGTGGGGTGGGGTGCTTGGTGTTATATGGTTGGAGTGGAAGTTATTGATATGATTAGATGACTTGGTTGGTATGATATTTTGATAGAAGTAGATGAAGTTTCAAACTATATTATATAATAATATCTCTATCCTTTTATGGAAAAATTTGTGGACTATTCTTTCCCTTAGAGAGGGAAAGGAGTAACTTATTTAATAGGGCACTCAATGAGTAAAGAAGAATTATAGACAGGGTATACTATCCAATCGAAAAATTGAATTAAATCGAAAAATCAAACTAAATAAAAATATTGATTAAGCTTAATCCAGTAAATATTTTAAATCATTTTCTTTAAAAGATATGTCGAGAAATAAAAATATTTAACAGAATTATATAACTCATTCATTTTTACATGTAATTTAAATAATAATTAATTTATTATTAAGTGTGATGGTGTATTATCAATAGTTTATAAAAATTCTTTTATTTTCTTTGAATTTGATATGAAGTTATTGGCGGTAATTTACAAAATTCAACAAAAACTACTTTTTTCTGATTTTATGTTGATTTTTGTGTTTAATTATTAAATTTGATTAAACAGCTCTCTGTAGTTTCTGGAGAAGCTACTACATTCATGTGGGGGAAGTAAGTATCAATTGATCAAGATAGTAAAATTCACAAAATATATAAAAAAAAAATTCAGTTGAAGTAATAAAATTGAATTTGATTTAATTGAGCCACCTTTTGTACTTGCAAGCAAAAATAAAGTAGTTCAAAGTTCAAAATAAGCAGCCAAATGAGGCTAATTAATCAGCCATTCATCCTCTCATTTCGCGAATCTTTACATCCTAATCATAAATTTAGAGTTCGAAGTCAAAAAAATAATAAAACATGAAGTAAAAATTCAATAGAACAATAAATATAAGATCGAAATCAAAAAAACAATATTTAAACAGGAGAATGACGCCTTAAAATTTTACGGAGGAAGGCACAGGTTTCCATGTGCCTTACGAGGCTTAGGTAGCGACTTACAAGTACTATATCGCCTTGCTATTCAAGCAAAGCTAAAATGTTAGCTACGAGTTCGATTAACAAAATTTAATAGCTTTGGTTCTTTATCTTATTTTGTCTTAAGAATATGTTACGAAATATTAATTTAAAATTTTAAAAATTAAAATTTAAAATTCATAAATTTTAAATTTTATATAACAAAACAAAAAGTGGGAAGAGCTAGATCTCAATAATAGTAAATTAACTAATTAATTAATGATAGTTAGCTCATGGATTTGACTTATAGTAACAATAATTATCATTAGTAGTTTTCTTTCATGTCGACCTTTCACAATCACATCGTTGGAGGCTACTATATATATATACATGAACTACTTAATTATCATTTTAGCTTTTTTCAAATTCATTAAAAAATATAATAATAAATATAAGATACTATCATTTGCGTAGTTACTTACCTCTATTTATTTATTATATATTTTAAACATTGGGAAGAACTATTGAAAAAAATTCTTTAACGTAATGATATAACTAAAAATAATTGTAAATTTTTGTTTTAAATGTTAAAGCAATAATTATTATATTGTTTTTAGTAAAATAAGACTTACTTTAAAAGGAGGGCAGAAATATAATACTGATTTTTAAAGAAAAAACTATCGACATTGATGACAAAATTGGACCAAAGAGACAAACGTGTTTGAGAGTATATGAGGGTCCAATTGAAAAAGATATAAAATACAATTATTATATTAAATGTGTAGGGTTCAAGAAAAGCTTCTAGTTTATTTCACATTCTTATCCACATAATTAATATATATATATATATTAGATAAGATTTGCAAAAGCAAGAAAAGAAAAATAATGAGAAAGTAAAAAAAAAAACAATTTTAATTTCCTCAATTAGCAATTTCATATTTTCCTTTAAATGGTAAGAAAATATTCTTTAGTCTTGCTTCGTGCAGCAGGGGCCATATATATATATATATATATATATATATATATAAGTTTATGTGATATTATGAAATTAGAGAAACTATTGAAATTTTTATATGATTCTAAAATATGTTAAATTGTTTGTTATTGTGATTTACAGGAAAATTTTTTTACGTATTTTAAAAAATAACATTTATATTTTAATTTATGTGATTTATGAAATTACGGAAACTATATAAATTTTTATATTATTTTAAAATATTTTAAATTGTTAGTTTTTGTGATTTATAATACTTGTTTTTACATATTTTTGAAAGTAATATTTATTATTCTCTTTGTTTGGATTTATGTGGCAAATGTAAGATCTCAAAAATTAACCATTTTTTATGTCTCTAAAATATATTAAGTTAATTATTATATTTTATAGTACATTTTAACTTAATTTTTAAATAATAGATATTACTTTTCATGTCTCAACTTATATGGCATTAATTGATAAATTTTTTGGAGTCAAGCAAATTCTTTTGCTAATTATTATATTCGTCAATTTCAAAAAGTATATGTTTATCATCTAATCTATTTTATGTGATATCAATAGAATTTAGAAAGTCAATCAAACTTTTTATATAACTTTTAAATATTTAAGTTATTAATTATCGTAATGTAACGACCCAAAAATGGACGTGATGACACTCGTCTTATCCCACCAAGACAAGTCAGCCTAAAATTCAACCATTACAATAAAATGCGGAAATTTCATAATCAATTCAAAACACCCCAAAATCTGGTTGTCACGTGTACAAGCCTCTAAAGTATTACAATTGATTCAAAAGAAACGTTAGTCTCAAATGAACTTGTTTCTAGAATAGAACAAGGTCATAACTACAGCTACCTCTCAAATCTCCAAGAAAGCTCAGACAAGGAGAAGAGAAATATCACAAAGTCCGGGCAAGTAACCTACAAAAAAATTGTAGTAGCAAGGGTTGAGTACCAAACCACACGGTACCCAGCAAGTAAAACGTCTAAACACAAGCTAAGGGGATAAAATACGGGTACTCCTACCACCCCTAACCGAACCTCCACAATTACAACCTGCATTAAAATCAACCCAACCTAACAGCTCACGGTTTACATAGCACGTAGCTCAACAACAACACTTAGACAAATTACATATCCGCAATAACAAGCTCAATATTGATCAATCGCAAGTTCCGCAGAAAGGCAATCAGAAGATCAGCAAAATACGATACCAAGTTCACTAATGATAAGTATGTGCAATGCAATGGAAAGCAATGTCAAGTATAATGATGCATGTCTGACCTAGTGATACACACCCGCTGTCTCTCAGTCCGGGACCCATGGGGGACATATCTGTCCATGCATCTGTCGCGGCGCACGACACGAACCTCGATAATAGTAACCATCGCGGCGCGCGATACGTCCCTTGAAATATAGTATCCATCGGCGCGCGATACGTCCCTCGAAATGGTACATCCTCTTAAGTACCCATTCTTTCTCAATGCACATAACACTTGTCACAACCAATGCCTCAGCATAATGCAGATGAGAAGTTCACACAAGTAATGAGGAGATGACCATTTTCATAACATCGCACAGTTCACAACCACACAAACATGAAGTTACATCAACAATGATTCAACAAGCCTTCAACCCTTTCTCAACACATCACACATAAACAATTAATCACATAGACTTTTGTTATCCCATTTTTTCATCATTAGAATTAATCAATGTGGACAAGTCAACCCATCACCAATCCCGTTACTCCCAAACATATACCACAAGAAAATACACACATTTCATACACTTAACAAGAGTTTAAAAATCCACTTACCTAAATAAATCAAGAATTTACTCCAGGATTTGAGTCTTCCCTTTTCGTTAAGCTTCCATAACAATGCAATCTATTCACATAATAATCACAATAAGATTCAAAACTAACCACACCCGTATGACTATATGTCTATCTTAGACCCAGAAAATCACTCAAACATATAATCACGTTCTTAATTTGGATGCCAATTAATATTTCGGTTCTCATTTTCCTCAAATTCAAGCGTAGGTTTAAGTCATAATTTCTTCAAATACTACAATCCTAATAACTTTCACATAATATAATACACTCGATATTTAATTACCTATTTTAATATATCAAAACTTGAATCATAATATGATAATAAAATAAGAACAAATAAATATGAAATCACTGGTTACGAACCAGTGGTGGAACCGCTGAAGCAGAGGAAACAAATCCTCACCCGTAAGTTATACCCTGCATAACACCATTTCAACAATATGTAGCAATGATGAGCCAATTATTATTTTATTATTAGACTCAATTTTTGACTTTAAATTTCTCAATTCAAACTTATGTTGGCAGCCATTAATATTTAGCCTCAGTGTCCTATTTAAAAAGCTAAATTTGCCGGTAATTAATACACCATACCAATTGAAGCCTCACACACAATAATAAAAATAGTAATTAATTACATGAATTAACGAAAATAGGACTTATATACTAATATAATATGAAATACGGATGAATTTGTTATTTTTTGTACCTGAAGGATTATCTTTTTCCACGACCATACCATTAGGTCTTCTATCGGCGACTTCCTGTTAACTTACTATTCCTCTTTTCGTCTCATCACATTGTGATAAAAAAAAAATATTAACCTCGCTACCTAATTTTAATAAGTAAATCAAGTAGTTTAGATATTAAATAATTAGACTTGGCCCATTAACGAATTACTAAAAAAAAAAAATTTACTCTCTAATTAATTAACTATAATTGAACAAGTAATTTAAAATTTCCATAGAAATTCTTTTATGGAAAGGATCCTTTATGAAAGAAAGTGGACTAGTACTCAAAATAGTCTAACGGGTCATTACACGTAATTTATAGTATTTCTAATATTATTTGTTTCTCTTTTTGTTCGAATTTATTTGATATTGATAAAATTTAAAGTGTGAATTAATTGTTTATTATTGTGATATATATATATATATATATATATATAAAAGTATACTAAAATTGTTAATTATTCTAATATCCACATTATTTTTATTTTTTAAGTAATTAATGAAAAAAGGGCAACTTTCACATATAGCAAACAAAAAATTCATATTTGTATGCTATAACAAACTTTGCATAATTGCGCTCCATAGCAAACATAAAACTGTATAATTTGCTATACATATACAATTGTATAATTCGCTAGCCTAAATTGTATAATTCGCTGGCCTATTTTGCTGCAATTGTATAATTTATTTTGCATACAGTTGAATCGAATTAAAATGTATGTATATTGCATAATTAAAAGTGTATAGCAAGAAAATATATGTTTTTCTCGCTTTATACAAAAACAAAAACACAATATATACACTTCTGTTGTATAAAGCTAGAGAAAATTGTATTTCACTGCAATTGTATAATTCGTTGGCCTTTTTCTCTGCAATATTTGAAGTAAAATGTTTGTAAATTGTATAATTAAGTGTATAACACGAAGATATACATTTTTGCATGTGTATATACAATTTTCTCTCACTTTATACAAAACAGAAACAGAATTATACACTTCTGTGTATAAAGCGAGAGAGGCGAGCGAGAATGAAGAGTGGCAAGCGAGATTTTTGGGAGAGAGACGCTGGTAAATTTTAGCTATGTTTGCTATGGAGTACAATTAAATCAAATCCTAGCTATTCCATTTAATTTAGATTATTAGTTTGCTATTATATACAATTTTCCTATAAAAAAAAAGGTGAGACATGAGAATTAAAATAAAGAAATACGCAGGTCACCCGACTTAACAAAGTTGGTGGGCCCACTTATATTAAATAGAAAAAATTATATGAATAAATACAATTTTAAAAATAATTACTGATTTTAGCGATACATTTTGTTTATTACCATTTATAATAATATTGTGATAAATCTGCAATATGTATAAAAAGTTAATTATGTATGCAATATATTTGAATTATAATATTTTTTGAAATATATTATGTTTGTTTGGTAAAAGATTGTCACATTGTATTACAAGTGTATTAAAATGTATTATAAATATATTCTTCATCATTAAAATATGTATAATATTTGAATAATAAGTTTATCTTTATAATATGTATTAAATTTATATTATAAGTGAGTTAAAAGTGGTCCGGTGAAAAAAATATATTATTGCTATAAATGATAAATAATTTTTTATTTTAGTATATTTACGTAAATTTTTCAATTAAATAAAGATGGATATATGTGTCATTATATAGAGATGTTGATTAGTATTTTTGTCTAAAGAAGAAATGGTACAATTAGAAAATATGGCAAAAAAACAGCCATATTGAAAGTTTGAAACTCTCTCTTCTAAATAAGAGAAAATTAAATATAAAGTTAACATATTCTTCTTTTGGAAAAAAACGTTTATATCATATTATAATTTATTTTATGAGCTATTATAAATATTAAATTACAATATACTATTTGTCCATAAAATTGAGAAATATGTGAGTAAATATTATTTTCGAGTCTATCATTATGCTGAAGAATTATATTTATATGACTTTTTAAAACAGGGATAGATTTTGATATTGGTCTAAAATAACACTTAGCATAAATAAATCGAATCTAATAGTTTTGTCCGGCTTAATCTTTAATTAATTTATCATATTATAGAACTAAGGTTATTGAGATTAAAATTCTATTTTATTTAATTAAAAATATTTTAAAACTTACAAAATAAATTTAAATATTAAATCAAATAAAGCGTAAAATCAATTTTAAACTTGATCCTAAAAATCAAATAAGTATAAAATTAATTTTAAATTTAATTCTAAAATATCTCATCTTATTCTATAAATCAAAATGACAATAATTTAATTTATTAACAGCCTTCGCAAAGTATATATATTTAGAATAAATTAAACTCATGGCTCAATACTCTGCAACAAAAATTGTGTATTTTTTTTTTTAAATTGAAATACTTTGACATTATTATTGACATAGATTAATTCAAGATATTTTCAGTTGACTAATTCTTTTCTTTTTGTGAATGAAAACTTTCTAAAAAAAAATATGACTTTAATTATAAGTAATTATAGTATTTTGGTGAAGCCTGTCTACACTATTTAAGACACAACCCATATACACGCATATGTTCTTGGTGACTAATCACCAATACAACCAAATTATTTTTCTCTTAGCATTATAACCTATTTTTCACATATATGGTTCGAGATGTTGAATTTAATTTTTTAAATATAAAATCCTTTGTGTTAAGAAATGTTTTATTTTCTAATATAAATTTTTTTAACACAATATTAAATTTAGTCAAACTTTAATATAAATATCGAATACTGAATAAGAAATAGAATCCTAAAGTAACAGTCGCCTTACATGTGTTAAGAAATATTTTATTTTCTAATATAAAATTTTTTAACACAACATTAAATTTAGTCAAACTTTAATATAAATATCAAATACTAAATAAAAAATAGAATCCTAAAGTAACAGTCGCCTTACATGAATGGCTTAATAGCCGACATGTTAAAGACTTTCATGGTTTTAGTGTAACCTCACGTTTTTATTTGACCATCAAATTAGTTATTCTAAATTATTGTTTTTTGGGTGTTTTATGACCAACTTTCTAAGGTGATTTGATACTATTTTATCGTCTTAACTGATGTAATTTATTTTAATATGACATAATTTATATAAAAAAGAAAAAATTTGGAAGGATTGGTATTATTTGTGTTTTCCCTCTAATTTATGAATGATTGAAATATGATACATTTTTAGAAAAACATTACAATATAATATAAAATTATTTTTTATAATTAGACTTTTACTTATTTCTAGCAATCAAATTTTGTGTCAATTTAATATATTATATAACGTCAATAATTCTACAAAGTTAGTCCTAAGACGCCAAAAAGTAAAAAAAAAAATAAATTGATTTGACGGTCAAATGAAAACGTGGAGTTATACTTTCACTATGGAAGTTTTAAATATGTCGGCTATTCAGCAATTTATGTAACGCTAAGAATATATTTGTGAAATTTTTAAATCAAATTCTTACAAAAATATATTTCTTATTATGACACAATTTTTAGTTTTGATTCTTAAAGAGGAATAATTTAATTTTATATAATGAATGCCATTGTTGATATAAATAAAATATTATTATAGAAATATAACATAAAAATTGGCAATCATACTGTTGTAATGAAATATGGCTATTATAACAGTTATATCGAAATTTGAGTGTATCGGAATTTCTATCATTAGTTTTATTTTCATTTTTTTAAAATTAAAATTAGGAATCACAATGGGGGTAATAAGGTAACCGGCTTACTGCTAAGTAGGCATTACATCTATTTTTAAAAAAAATAATTAGAAAGAACCAAAAATGAAATGACTTGAGATATTCGATATAAATATTTTTAAATGTTACGATAAATAATTTAAAACGAAACAATAAGAAAAACACTTATAATAAGGTAAAATTATTTAAAATTCTGTCAAACTCACCTACGACAATTAAATTATACCTATACTGTTGACCAGATCATACAAGACTTGAACTTGTTGACTTTACCATGGGGCTACTTTTGTAATGAGAAGACATGTATTTATTTTTTTAATTTTCTTTTGACTGACTTTGCTGCTAAATTTAAATAATAAGGATTTTCAAAATTGCTGGTCCCTTCAATTATGTCAGGTAAAAAGCTTTCACATTTACTCACTTCACTTCAAATTCAAATGTGACAATACTTGACTTTTTCAATGGTCCATTTCAAGAAGGGTCATTTTTAAGACTGCCACAGGGTTGAAAGAATCATTACACTATAGTACTATTAAATTTAAAGAATATGTTACTCGTATTTATCAGAAGCAATCTATCAAAAAATATGTTTGAGTATACATCATCCTTTTCGAACTTCACTTTTTGCGGAATCACATTAGATATATATTCTGCTCGTACAAGAGTGAACTCATGCAGGGAAAATTTTCGAAACAAAGATCAAACATGATTTATTTTTTTTCCCAACTTTATTTCAGAATTCTTAAGATAATTGTCAAACAGCTAGACAATAAATATTTTGTAATGTTCAACTATGTCTTAAATAGTGGTCCTCCCTAGAAGCTATGTGTGATTATTTTGTCAAACAGAACATGCAAGTAGTTTTGTACTCTCAAAGGTGTTAAATTAAAGAGGCTATAGCTAGCAAAAATTAAAGATACTATGTAAATGAAAATGATGCATAACACATGAATTTTCTGTGTTATCTACTTGAAGAAAAAAAACATGTAAATGAACTTTTAATTTTTTATGTCAGTCAATTCATATATAGTGCATCAAATTCGAGAGCTATTTAGGTCATTTCGTTCCATTCCCCCCCACCCCCACCCCACCCCAATCATTTAGGTTCTGGACTGTCTTAAGATCTTCCATTATTGTATCGTTTACTGGACATAGGGTATCAAGTCTAAACAAGGGTATCCATTGTTGAAATGATGATCTAGGTCATCGGATAATGTGCGCCCGGATGATCCAACGAAGTTAATCATCGAGGCCATATGCATGTACCCTAGCAGAATCACCATGTACAGGCACTAAACCAACATCAAAGAAAGAAAGATGAATAGTGTTTTGTTCCATCTCTTTATAATGCAATGATAAGCTCCACAGTTCATCTGAATCAGAAGGTGGTGTTACTCTGACGTTTAAGATTGTTGGAATTTGTTTATGCTGCTTCAATCACTCAAGGAAAAAGAAGATTTTCCTACACAATGTTCCTATTCTAAACATTCCTAAACTGGTGCCTCTTTAGAAACCCACTTTGATAACCATGGTGCCTCTAAGACATGTTTGAAACAAGCATCATTGGGGAGAAGATTATTTCAAATGATATAATAAACTTTCTCGTATTGATTGAGCAAATGTCTGATGAAAAGGTCTTAAGAGTTTTACTCTTCATCTAGATGGTCAAAGAGTTCGCTCCAATAAGCTGCGGCTTCTTCAGGGGTTCGTGTTGACCACAGGTGAGGCTTCGCTTTCTCGCGTGTTTCTAAAATTTCCTGCTTCACATGATCTAATGATGAGTATGATAAACAAAATCAACAAAATAATACAGAAAGCAGAAGTGACTTCACGAGCATATATAGGGAAGAACACCGTCAGTGTGAGTATTTTTTACACTATCAGATCATCTTTACTTGTTACCAGATCATCTTTACTTGTTATAGCAGGTATTCAGGTAATATATCTCATTATTAAAATTTCAAGTCCCACAACTAAAGGAGGCTTACCTATAAATATCCATTAAATGACCTAATGTGTAAAAAATTGCATGCACTGACGGTGTATACAACTTAAAGCTCTAACAAAATTCCCACATGATAAATTTTGTATTTATTGATTTTTAAAAAAACCCTCTGCATCTATAATAACATCTTCAGAGAAGCATCCATCCGAAAAGAGAAATTGCTAGCTCAGCAACCTCATTAAAAGCAAATACCATAGCATTACTGCCTAAGTCAGCAACACAAGACTGTGGTTGACAAATGAAATCACAACCAATTTATCAGCCATACTCAAAAATTTGGATGGGTTGAGGCACACCAATTGTAGGTGAGGGGTGACTAGGTGAGGCATTACCTCGGGTTTGGCAAAATTAAATGAATCTTCTCCTAGTTTGTGAAATACCTAAAATGTACCCTCTAGTTTAATCTCATTTAAAATACCTCCTTTACTTCAATCCCCAGGATTTGAGCAGTTAAATGGGACTATCAACAAATTAGAAGTGTTTTCGACAACATAAAAAGCAAAAAAGCAAAGCTGCACATCAGCAAAACTTGCATCCAAGACCTCCCCCAGTTGAGAAGTTTTGTGTTAGTATACCTCCTTTTCTGATATTATAGCAACAATTATTCTAATCAAAGAGTTTATAATTTGGAGAGACTCAGATTCAATTGCTAGAATGTCGAAACAATAAAATTATATTCCTCATCCTCACAAATAATTTTATTGTTTCGACATTCTAGCAATTGAATAAACCTTGCGTTGAATGACTCAGGCGAAAAAAGAACATTGTGAACAGTCCAGACAATGATGCAAGAGAACACTGTACCTCCACTTCAGAAGACCTTTTGGTTTTTAAAGTCAGACAATCAACGAGACCACTCCATTTCTTACTACAATTATCAAGGGCACCAAGTCTATAATATTGCTGCATCTGATGGACGGGAGCTGCCACAACATAATTACACATCAGCCTAAACTAATTCTCAAAGAAGAAAGTGCATGTAATAACAGAAGACAAACAGATATCATATAAGTCGCACTGATATTAACTTTGAACTTGGTTCATATATTCTTACAGACATTGCAACCAAAACTTATTTATTAACAACAGCAATATAACAGAATGTATGGTGATGAGCCTTCTTTTTCAGTTTAGAATTGTGTTTCCTTCTCAGCATGTAAATGAATCATTTTGTTATTGAAAACGTCTAAATGCATGTCGCTCAAATAAATAATCAGCTTCCGTGAATTTCAATCCTAAACAAGGACGGAGAAAGAACAAATAGAAAAGAAGTTTTTAGGAGTGAAACTAGCAGCAAACTATATCGTAAGTGTCATCAAAAATCAAGAGCAAGACTCACATCACTTAAGATACAGCAAGTTAATAGTACAGTATAACCCTATTGTGTTTAATAGTTCCCCTCAGTTGCAGCGGATTAACTAAGATTACTAAAGGCAAGGATCAGTGCAACACTTGTCTTTTGAAGACCCCAGCATAGCTAAACAGCAGTCTAGATCCTTGAAGAATCTATGCTTGCAAAGCTTTCGGCTGACAACCCCAACACCAGTCTCACATTTGTTAGTATCAAGACTACTAACATATTTTCATAAGCAATTCACTAGCCTCCTGCGTCTACCATTTGTTTAATCAATTACGAAATCGTCGTTTAAGGCAATCATATGTTTACAAACAGTAATTTTCCAACTATTCATCGCAAGGTGCCAAAAAAAGGGAATCAATAATGTTTTCAACTGAAAGGATGATCAAGTGAAATTCTGCTATTGTTTGGTCATCTGTCCATCCTCTCTTTCTCCTTCCATCGTCAAATATATGAATCGATTACATAGTGTATTAGATATTGACTTCAAGTTTATTACAAGTGAGCTTTTTGTTGGAAAGCCTTTGATTCAGGTTAATTTCCCATCTTTCTAACAAAATTTACAGCCTGTTTGGATTGGCTTAAAAGTTGGTCACTACTTTTAAGTCATATTTAGCTTTTTGATATGTTTGGCAAAGTTAAAAATAACTTAATATAAGTTTTAAATGACTTTAAAAAAGTTAAAAGTTAAAAGTAGCTCCCCTACTTTTCATTTTTCAACTTAAAAGTTACTAAAGTTCGACTTATTAAAAACTACTTTCAAAAAGCTACTTTTTTTAAGTTAAGCCAAAAGGGCTCTAAGTGGGTTACTATGAATCACAACTCCAACCAATCAATTCGGGGTTTCATTGGATAAAAAAGTCGGATATTTCTTGTTCTGATGTGGCACAAGATCAGGTTGATTGTTGCACTCTAAGGGGTCGTTTGGTGAGAGTGATAAAAATAAATAGTGATAGGATAAAAATTTTATATCTTGTATGGTTGCCATTTTGAGATAACTTATCCCACCATTTATATCATAGTGATGGGATAAGTTATCCCACCATTTATATCATAGTGATGGGATAAGTTATCCCATATACATGGTGGGATAAATTATCTCAGATAACTTGTTCCCAACCAAACGATCCCTAAAGGTTCCAAAGTAGAAAACCTACTTGTTGCACAATAAATTCATAGGTTCTAAAGTGAAACTCCATTCAATCTGCAAAAAGAAATGATTGTGATGCAATATCTAGAATCTGCCTTAAATGTACCAGCCAGAAAGTACTTCCTGGTTGAATGATATGAGTTTCGCCTTTCTTTTCTTTATCCCTATCAAAAAAACTAATGTCAGTTGCAGCACTAGATTTAATAGCCTTTGGCTCATTGCAACCTGTAGCCTATTGCTTTCACAATTTTGGCATGCGCACAGACACACCTCAAGAACCATATTACTACATCTGAAAGGCTGGTCCAAGTGCTATCCTGTGCCATAGACTTCAGCTTAGCAGAGTAGAAAATAAATTCCGTTATTGAGCTGGGATAGGGCACCAGTTCCATTCCAACAATAAAAAGGGTGATCCTCCTTCAAACTCATACTTTAGAAAGAGTCTCGTTCAACCTTCTGTGATTTACAGAAACTGAAGATCTTTTTCTCTTTCAAAATCAACAACTAGCAAAGACCTCTTGCACAAAATATAACTCGGATTTCAAATTGTTCACTTGCTTTAATTACTCATACTATAGATAGGAGTCTAACCCTTCTCCTGTGGGTTTTTGATCAAGTAGGAGAATGTTATTGGTACTGTCATTCTTGAGAGCCATGATGCAACAAGCTTCATATGACCTGGTGGACTGGCAAGATCTGCCTATCATCCACACAATAACCAATATGTCTATATATAATTCACACAGTAATTAGTTTCTTGTAGTGACAAATTAGAAATATGTCAGCTGACAATTGTATTTCTAAACAAGGATTACTGGATATTGGTATCTCGAAACAATGTTCAAGACAAATTGAATCCTCACATACAGACTACAGTAAATACCAAAAGCATAACACTGATGCCTAACGATTACGTTCTCCAAACGTGCCATTTGGTTGCTATTACTAAATAGTGATTACATGAATTTTGATACCTAAAGCATAAAGCCCTGCACCCTAAACGTAGTTAGACTATGAAGAGAAAAAAATGATGATTTGATTAGGTATACTGGCAAATATAACATGTCAGAGTATACAAATCAGGTTACACAAAATAAAGATGCATAGCATAAGAGAACATCATTAAGTACACACAAAAAAAAGTCAGATTCAACCCTTATCACAAGAAAGAACCCAATTGAAATAACTAGCCTGTACAGTGCTTTACGAACGTTAATGACGTCTGCACTTATTTTCGGTAAAGAAAGAAACTCAATCTGAAGTAGCTATAGAAGTAAGAAGAAGTAAAAATTAACTGCATTCATTTTTTAGGCCGACACACATTTTCAGTTTCAACGCTAAGAAGAAGATGCAAGATTCCACATACAAAAAACCATCAAACTTTAGGCATCTTTAAGAGGGTCTTAATGATCAGGAGATTTGATGGTTTAGAGCATATAAATCCTTATCAAAATTACAGTCAACAAATGAATAAAGCTAAAGAAATTCAACTTACAGTAGCAGAACCAGAGTGCATCGAAGTAACGGGTGCATGACAGTCCTCTTCGTGGTTGCTTTTCTGAACTCATCTGAACTTCTCCTGACATTGAAGATCAATTTCCGGCTGAAGCTAAATCACTGTTAGAAAATTTTGATAGCTGCATTTAGACTTCTGCGAAGAATATGGATGAATTGTGGTAAACTCCCCACCCCCCCAACCCCAACCCACACACACAAACAAACAAACCATTTTAAACAGGCATTTGAACATAAATTGGTTGAGATTTGAAAGGAAAAAAGGAAAGAAATACTTGAAGTTAAGATAAAAAGTGATAGTTACATGAGAACAAAATTCACGTTTTGTGAGTGGAAACTTGAAAAACTCCAATAATCACCCACTGTTCCCAGGAGAGAGAAGGAACATTAGATAGGAGCATTAGAAAACACACATAATATTTAAGATCTAAATGATACATATTCATATCTAATGTTCCTTCTCTCTCCAATAAAATTCATTTAGATCTTCAACATTATGCGTCCTTTTTATTATACAATCACTTATAGGTCTAAATAGATCTAAATGATTAAGATCTATAACAAAGTTATGTGATATTAACTGCTGCTACATAAATCAGCATCTCCTGGCTTAGCATTGCAGTTTCCATCTGTCTAAAATCAGTTAAGATAGAAATTAAGAAAACTACAACTAGAAGAAACCAATAAAAAGCACAAAGAACAATACTCCTCTCCATGTTTTGAAGAGAACCAAAAGGATAATAATTAAAGGGAATTCACTTCAAGATGGGCATTAGTGCAACCAATTTTAACTATTGTCACGAATAGACATTGGAGGCAATGAATGAAAAGCAGAAACTAAGGAAATGATAATATCATGACAAAAAAATGATAACTATGCTAGCTATCTTTGATTTTAATCATCCTAAATTGAAAAGAAGAAACTACTAAAATGTTAATATTACGACAAGGACTACTACAAACAGAAAACAACGAAGATACAATAGCATATTTTATCACTCCTTCCTTCACAAAGAATGACCTAGTTTGACTTGACACGGAGTTTAAGTGAATAAAGAAACTCTTGAATCTTGTGGTCCTAAATTAAAGTTATCCCAAATGTACAAAATTGCTCTTTAATCTTGTGGCGTTAAACATGTCACGTGGAAAACTAAAGTTAAAATGTTACCAAAAAAAGAAAGAGATCATTCTTTTTGAATAGACTAAAAAGGAAAGGAGGTCATTCTTTTTTAAACGGAGAGAGTAAAACATTAGTCACTATCTCTTTCTTCTTTGAATTTTTCCTCATTCTCCTCGGTTCTTGAACCTCAAGTCGAATAAGGAGTGTAAACTATAAAACCAGAAAATGCTGAATGGTAAACCCATTGTCCAGCAACTCAGGCCGTCAGACTTTTAGGCATAGGGTATCAGCGTAAATAATCCAAATGGTACCAATAGATGGGTGGAATCGACACGAAAAGCATATTTTATTTCCAATTCTTATGGTTTAAATTCATCATCAATAAGTCAGGTTCATCTCTGGAATGACTCTTCCTCTTTCTTTTAAACAAAGTAGCAATCTTCCTATTTTTATTCTAGAAAAAATAAAAGTATTTCCCATTGATCTAAACATTAGAAAGGTGGAAACAAGTGAATGAGAACAAGCAGAGTAGAAATAATCAAGTGACAAACTGGATACATAAGCAGATAAATCTGTTCTATAAATACATATGAATAGCATTCTTCTTTAAAAGTGCCTAAAAATTATGACGCATCAAATAAATAGAGGGAGTACTAAATTATTTCAATTAACCAAGGTTGTAGTGTCCAAATGGACAAGATGCAACTTGACTTTGAAGTGAAGAACAAAGGAAAAGAAGGAAAAAAGTACAATAAAAAAGAAGAAGGAATAGGATTATCCACAATCCTATATTCTCTTCAAATCCTTCTAAGCTAAAGGCTAGACCAAAGGCATGATCGAGAATAAACTAGATGAACATGGATAAAGCTAAATGACATAAAACCTTGTCTTCGAAAAGAAACAACATCCACTTGCACCACCTTCAAATTATTTACATTAAAAAATAAGTAGATTCATAGCACCATCCCTCAAAGCTTGATGTTTTCCCCTATATACAGATTAGCTATAACCAGACAAAGCAAAAAGGGAAAATCAAAATGACAAAGAACAAAAGGCAACTCTCCCTTCTTTTGATTTTGAGCATCTGCATCAGCACACAAATGCCCAGACCCACAGCCTCAACACACAAACGCCCAAATCCCAGTCATAATCAAACTCCAATATTGAAAGAAAATCAATTTTGTCATCAATGGGATCAACTAGTGTTGGTACTTATGATTAACAAACACATTATTCCTAAATTAAAACTTAATATCAACACGAGATGGACACAAATTGGTCTTGCAAGAAAATCAATTTTGTCATCAATAGTATCAATTAGTGTTGGTATTTATCCTTAACAAACACATTATTTCTAAATTAAAGCTCAATATCAACACTAGATGGACACAAATCGATCTTGCAAGAAAATCAATTTTGTCATCAATAGGATCAACTAGCACTGGTACTTATGCTTAACAAACACATTATTCCTAAATTAAAGCTTAATATCAACACTAGATGAACACAAATAAATCTTGCAACAAAATCAATTTTGTCATCAATAGGATCAACTAGTGTTGGTACTTATGCTTAACAAATATATTATTTCTAAATTTGAAGCTTAGTGTCAACACTAGATGGGCACAAATCGATTTTGCAAGAAAATCAATTTTGTAATCAATGGGATCAACTAGTGTTGGTACTTATGCTAAACAAGCACTCGATGGACACAAATAAACTATTACAAAATTAAAGTTAAGTATCAATACTAGATGGACACAAACACATTAAAAAATCAGTTGTACTTGAACTTCAAAAATTTAGAAACACCGAACCTTATCTGCTATTTGATGAAAGAAGTAGTATAGTCTTGTATCAACTTTTTTAGATGTTAAGCTTCCTCAGTTGCCTAGCGCGAAAAGAAACAATTGAAAATTTCTTTAGTGGTCATCATAGAGAGATTTCAGTCATTATTAACATTAACAGTTGACACTTAGTGAACAAGTTTGTGTTGTTTTTTTGTTTTCTTGATAATTCAAAATAGGTTTCTCCTATTTTTAATACTTCCTCTCTTTTTTCCACTAGTTATTGTAATGTATATGTTAGAATTGTAAGGCATACACATGTAATTGGTATGACTGTCCAATATTGGAAAGGTAGAATTGTATATGATGACATGGGCATATGTTGTATTGGTTAGTTTGTTAGAGCAACTGTCACTAGTTTATTAGAGCAACTAAAACATAGATACTCTGTAACAGCAAAATACTAATTTAGACAAAAATTCAACATGCACTAACATTCTCTAACCGTTTTCAATATATTGACTGTCCAACTTGCCAAAATCAACATCCTTATGGGAAAGTTTGGCACTTAACAGTTAATCAAAGAGAACGAGCAATCAAACTCAATTGAACACATTTAAGTGTTCAAATTTTGAAGTGTATAAACTCAACCAAAGGATCCACATTGAACAACAACCAAATTCAATTGAATCAACCCTTCAATTTGTTCAACCCAACCTATTGATGACACTTGTTTATTATTTTTATCCAAACTTCCAGCAATACATACTAATAATAATATCATCCAACCCTATAAAATAATTACAATAAAAGAGCTTGATTACACTACCTAATCTGCCGGAATTTGCTGTTGCTGCTGCCGCCTCTGCGGTGATGCTGCGACCTCCTCCTCCTGCTGCTGCTGCTGCTGATCGAGGCGCACGGAGCTCCGGTCGGGGAAGGTGGCGCGACCTCCTGCTGCTGCTGATCTATGCAGCGCCGGTCGGAATGGGTGGGATGGGCGCCGATCAGGGGTGGATCGGGGTTGGGTGGGCGTGAGAAAGGAGTGAAAGAGATACCTAGGATATTTTGAAATTATCATTCTCTTTTAAAACCTGAGAAAAACTCAAATTTATCATTAAACTTTCGAAAAATACTTATTTATATTATTATTAAAAAGTTATATTTATTTATGTCATTATTATTAAAAAAATATTTATTCATGCTATTATTTTTAAAAGTAGTTTTACAAAACTATTTTTGATACGTGTTCAATTATAATACGATCACACATTCATTATTTTAATTAAAAGAATTTAAAAAAATTAATTCAATTTTATTCAGAATTTTAATTTTTTCTTAAAAAATTAATAACGCGTCCAATTATATTTCGACCACGTCATTAATTTTTTAATAGAAAAAAGTCAAAAAATTAATTCAATTTTTTTCTTCAGAATTATTATTTTTAATTAAAAAATTTGATGATGTGACCAAATTACAATTTGACACGTGTCAAAAATGGTTTTGCAAAACGACTTTTAAAAATAATGACATGAATGAGTCTTTTTTTAACATTAATGGCATAAATGAGCAAAACTTTTAACTTGTGGCATAAATGAGCATTTTCTAAAAGTTTAATGGCATATTTGAGTCTTTTCCCTTAAAATAATTATTTATACTAAATATTCAATAAATATCAATATCGTGAAATTGATATTATTTGAATATATCAACTTTAAAATTTATAAATATATATATATAGAGAGAAAAAGATTATAAGTTTAATTTAACTACACATCAACAAAAGATTAATTTTATAAATTTAAATTATATATCTTTTAATTACATAATTTTAGTTTTATCGATCAAGAGAAGTTTATTGATATCAAATTGAATATATAAATCTCTTTCAATTGGTCATCGGTATTTCTTTAGTTGATAGTGTATTTCATATCTGAATCACAAATATACAAGGGTGTCTCCTGCGCTATACTTTATTTTACTCTCTAAATATAGAGTTGTCTATTTTTTCAGACAATCAACTCTAACTCAATTCTTTGTATTACTTTTTTTATAAAAAAAAACCGTTCTCAAATTCTTATTTTCGTATTTCATAATATAAATCATTTTTTCTCAATGTTACTTTATATAATTCTTATGTGATATATTTATTTTTTAATTTTTTATTTATTATAAAATTATATTTTATTCTAATTTTTTTAAATGCCACAAATTGCAATAAAATATTATATTATGTATAAATTAATGGACATATTCAAATAAAAGTGAAATACATTTGCATTAACATTATATAAACACTTATTTTTTGAAATTATTACGTTGCTCCCATAAATATTTAATTAATGCATCTCGGAGTTTAAAGTGAACGTTTTTGTCCTTAATTTTTTTATGTCTTGCTAAAAATTGTTCAAACTGGAGATGTTCATCTACCACCATTTTTGTCGTTGGAGTTGGATCCTCTATAACATCTTGAACCGGTGCACTAAGATCACGTTCATTTATTGTAAAATAATTATTATGTTGTGCATTGTGTTTTATCTCATATTTAAATTATTATGTTATGTATTGTATTGTTACATGTATTTAAATTAAAATTTTCTTTCACCATTTTAATGTTGTGTATTCTTTAAAATGAAAATTAATAATAAAATAAAATTTTATTATTGATGTAAACTAGAAAAAAAAATGAAATTACTATTAGTTTGAAATTAGAGTAATATATATTAAATAATATATTTTTAAAAATATTATATAGCGTTTAAAAAGACATGAATATAAGATATTAATGAAATCATATGTAAAATAATATGTTGATTAAAAACTAATAAAAATAACAATAAAACATTGTAAAAGTGAAATGGAGATTGTGAATAATAGTTCTCCAAATTATGAGAAGTACTATTCAACTCTCTAAATTTGAAGAATAAAGAATGATTTGAAGGTGGGTTCGAGTGTTCATCTCTATTTTACTCTCCAACATAGAAAATGGAGAGTAAATAGAGGTGGATTAGAGATGGTATAAGACTTGATTTGTTAAACTACTTGAGGAGTATATAATCAACGTACTTTATACTTCGATGAGTTATGTTTTACATGACATTGCATACGATATGATCACTACACTTGATATCCATTCAAAATCGAACGTAATAATCTTGATATAACTTGATTTGTACAATACTTTACGGTGTTTAATTGTATATTTTATAAAACGAGATAAGATTTTGAAGATTATACGTACAAATAATTAAACAGTTAATTCAATAAAAATCAATTAGTTGTTATCATGACATGTTCCCTAATTGAATTCACGTATTCATTCTGCGATTAAAAAAGAGTTAGAAGATATTATAATTTACACTACACTTCGTACAATAATTTATCGCAGTATTCGTATACCATTAACTGCATTTCCAAATATTGATAATTTCACTTCTCATATGAACATGATGAAAGAGAGTATTTTTGAAACCCGTATAATTTTATGCCAGATTATTTACTACACGAGTCTTCTATTTGATTAAAAAAATGACTTATATGCTTATTAACCTAAAAAGGAATATAAGAAAGTCTCGAAGAGAGGTTTAATAAAGACGTGTTGGATGCTAGAGGTATTAAATTAATGTCATACATGCTAAGATGATTAAGATATATATGGTAGATTTAAGATTCGAGCGAGAATAGTACAAACAGATTCAAAATATTTTCCAATCACAAAGGGGGTTGAATGATTGGGTGTAAATTAACTTTATTTTTGTTTGTCTTGATAGTGGAAGAATTGACACGTCATATCAAAGGTGAAACATCACAACATATGTTACAAATGACATAATATTGATCGATAAGAGTAGAAATACATGATATTCAAGGAATAAGATAACATACAACGTATACATGTGATATTAAAAATATAAAAACTTATTCTTAAAAATCTGTTACTTTAAACTTAAAAGGTATATTTTACAGATTGATGTTTAAATCGATTAAATTATACAGAAAAGTATTGGCTAGTTAAGAATTCTCGCGAATAAATGAGGATTGTGGAAATAAAAATGCCTTCAAAATTAGTTGTTGGTTTTTTTGTTTTTTGTTTTTAAAAAAAAATAGTTAGAGGGGAGGCGCAAAACCGTTAATCATTGTGGAGGACGCGGTTCCTTCCCTCCAACCTGACAACCAACAAATACCCGAATCTCTTATGTAACACTTTTTTCAACAATTGATTGATCATTTGCTCAGTCAAAATCAATATAAATCCTTTCCATTATCTTCCCCATTAAACCCTAACCCTATACTCCGATTGTTCTCTGAACGGGAAAAAGATCAACCCAAGTTTATGAATTAAGCACTACGAAGTTCGAGAACCCGATCTTTCTTCAATTTGATCGATCGGGTTATAGTTTTTTTTTTTTGTTTACAAAGATGTCGAAATTGTATGGAGGGGATTTCAATCAGAAAATAGATTATGTGTTCAAGGCGGTGCTGATCGGAGATTCTGCAGTTGGAAAATCGCAGTTATTGGCAAGATTTTCGAGGAATGAGTTTAGTCTTGATTCAAAGGCGACCATCGGTGTTGAGTTCCAGACGAGGACGTTAGAAATCGATAATAAGACTATTAAGGCTCAGATTTGGGATACTGCTGGTCAGGAGAGGTAGTTTGAACTTCTTCTTCTTTAGCCCTTTCTCTGACTTTTTTTTTTTGTTTTTCGAGATTTATTTATAGTGATCATGATCCAGTGATATGTGTAAGATCTGTTGATATCTCATGGTGATTGTGATTTGGTCCAAGTTGTGGAGTTCGCTTGGTGTATTATGTGTTTGGTAAATATGGCGATGCAGTTTTTTGGCTGATATGTGCTTTTGATCATATGGATATCTGATTTGCTATACAATATCTAACATGCTTTAGTAAGAGATTTTTAAAGGTGATCACTTATTATCACTATGAGAAAGAGAGTATTTCTATATGTGATGGATCTTAATTGCGTTTTGTGGATCTGATCACAACTTATTCAATAGTCTCTTACTGGGCGTTGTTGTTGACCAACCAAATGGTGATCACAACTTACTCAATAGTTTATAGGATTGAGGTTGGTAGGTGGTAGCTGCCATTAACAGTAGTATGTAATAGTTTTCCGTGTTTCTTAAGACTGCCCTTATATGTATTAATTGTAAACAATGGAGTTGGATTACCTTTTAGCATTCATCATATTTGAAATGTGAGTGAATGAATGTTTCATCACCTTTGTTCCTCAGAAGTGGTAATGTATGCCCTTTTTGAAAAAAAAAAGCTGAAAATTTTGAAATGTTAGGACTTAATTGTAGAGTTTATACAATTCGACTAGATGAGCCTTAACCTCAAGATCTTTAGTTTGAATAAGCACAAGTTGTCTAGGGAGTCACTGTATGAAATGCAAAAGGGCCAGGTAATTTGGAGATTTAAAGAAGTAGGGTGAGTATGGGCATCTTAAATTAGTAGAGAGTCAAGAAATCTAAATGGAGACTTTTGTTTTGCCTGCCTCAAGCTTGGGGATTGGGATACCCGATTTTGTCCCATTTGCGTCTCTTATACATTGGGCAATAAAGTGCACCTTAGGCAAGCCTTTGACGACAATGTTTTCTAGTTAACATTAACCTGCAAGCAAAATGTGACTAGGTAAACAAAATTCATTTCTTTGATGAATCTGTCATGTGGGCTTTTGGGTACTTGGACGGTGATAGATTAGGTCTCTCAACAAGCAACATCCTTTTAGATTGTAAAGGATTGCGCCTGAAAACTTATCTAATGGTTGGCCTCATATTCACCTATTGATTGTTTATCTTTTTCTTACTCATGTTTCATCACCCATAGTCTGAATTACCTTCCAAGTTCCTTTTTCTTTTGATAAAGTAAGCATTTTTCCTATAGTAAGTAAATAATTTCATTGAATAAACTGCACCAAACTGGTGCTTCTTTATACAGCTAATACACACAATGCCTTTAAATTTGTCAAATGTAGGGTACATGAGAGAATCTAGTAAATTTTTCATGTTATGCACATTTCTCAATTTACATCATAATGCCTAAAAGTGCCAAAGGTTCCATTTCCCTGCTCTTTTCATCCTCCTTTTCCTGTTGAATACCCGACTTAGTAATGAATCTCTAACAATTGTTGGCGTTACTTATTCAATACTAAAAAAATTTCAAATTGTGCTACACAACAGTGCACAACCTGAAAGTGAAGTAATAAGTGATTCACATTGTTCCACAGCTTCTTTTCTATTTTGATAACCGAGAGATCTCAAGGGTCAGTGGCACACGGTTCGAACCTCGGTGGCAGACTTTCCGACCTCTTACTGATGAAAACACCAAACAGGACATCAAAATATGCAAATTTTACTTTACATTTGACATTGTTTAAAAGGAAAAATGATTTTTATTATTTATTACTCGAGACTTTTATTAAGTTTCAAGTGAATTAAATGTTTTGCCTTTTGTATGAGATTTTGGTGAAATTTCTTGAAAGAAATGAGTTTGAAGAGGTAATGGGAAAAAACCAAGGTGAAGAAGGAAAAAGGGACAACATTCTGTTGATTTCCTTTTTGAATCAATAGGGGGGGAGGTTTGGTAAATAAAATACACCGATGAGGATATTTTTGTCTCGAAAAAATAGTTTTCTGCTTCTTGGAAGAAGCTACAATTTATAGCTTCTTCCCAAACTGTTTCTGCTACTGCCCAAAATCATTTTTTCTGTTTTGGCCAACACCTCAATTCTCCTAAAAGAAAAAAGGTTATTTTTTAGCTTCCCAAAAGTAGAAATAGGCTATGTATTTTATTTTTCTTTAGACTTGTTCATTTTGTATTTTGTAAAGTTCTTACCATTTCCTTTGCTTATTCTTTTCTGCGTTTTCTGCCCTGGTTTTTGTTTAGACTTTAGAAATTTCTTTAAAAGATAGCTGTTAGTGGATTTTTTTCCCAACCACAGAATGGGCAGGTGCTTGAGCTACCAAAAACTTTTCACAAACTCCCAGGGAACTCCTTTCCCTGATTTTTATAAGCTTACATTTGGAAGTCTGGTTCATGTATCTAAAAAGAAACCACTATAAGTCAGGTAGGTGGACTGTAGCCAAATAGAATCCATTGCCGGCGATGAATGATTACTCTGTATTAAATAAATAACTCAGACTTAGTTCTGCCTTGATTATGGAGAGAATGGTAGTTGCTTCTTTTATTTCCTTGTTTGATTTCAGGAGTGTTGGACTGCGGATATAATTATCAGTACTCTATGTCACCTCGAAGGTAGAATGTATTGTGCATCATTTTATGTGCCTTGGGGAGGGACTGTGAATACATGGCATCTGTTGTAGACTGTCTAACAACAACTATTCTTTTGTTTTTTTGGATTAGTAAAGCCAATGAAATATTATCATGAGCAATTATGAGGAAGTTATCATCTCCACGAGACTAATTACATGCAATGAACACCATAATGCTTAAGAAGTTTAGTCTTGTGTGAAGGTTTATATTTACATGTGGGAAATGAGTACCCTCCCAAGAAATAAAAGAAAGTAAATCGAATTTAAATATGCAGATGAAGATACAAAAGTTCAATGTAATTTCAATCTAATTTGAATCATGAAAACAGAGAGCTGAACTGAATGTTTTTAATAGTTGTTGTTGCTGCACTTATTTAATCTGAATTATGACATTCCTTGTTGCGTTTTTTTCCTTTTCTGGTATATGGCCCCTCTCACGAAGGTAGAAAGAGTTGCAAAAGAAAGAACAGTGTTTTCCTCTAAAAGATAGTTGAAAAGTTTGACCTAGTCCTAATTATTGATCCAGTGTGGAACACCCTAAGCTGGTCTACTCATATTAGCTTAAGTAATTTCATTAGCCTAAATCAGATGGAGAATCAAATAAATGTGCTTTATCATGCATAATTATGCTTGTCTATTATCATGCAGATATATTGTTCTAAATGTGCCAAACCATTCTGGATGTCTTAGTTGTTTTGGTTAAATACGGCTATATGTGGCATTACCATCATCATATGTGATTATACTTGTGCTTGCTCAAAAAATGTCTCTTTCGTTCCTGTGATGCTCCCTGTGGCCTTTTGGGACTAAAAACTTGTATATGGTGTGGCTCCAGATATAGGGCAGTGACAAGTGCGTACTACCGAGGTGCTGTTGGAGCAATGCTAGTCTATGACATTACCAAACGTCAATCTTTTGATCATATCGCCAGGTGGTTGGAGGAACTGCGGGGCCATGCTGATAAAAACATTGTCATCATGCTTGTAGGCAACAAGACTGACTTGGGTAGTCTTCGTGCTGTACCTACTGAGGATGCGAAAGAGTTTGCTGAGAAAGAGAACTTGTTCTTTATTGAAACATCGGCCCTAGAATCAACAAATGTGGATACAGCTTTTGTTAATGTCTTGACGGAGATATATAGGGTTGTCAGCAAGAAATCCCTTGTTGCCAATGAGGCAGAATCCGCCGCTGGGAGTTCAGCTCTCCTCAGGGGAAAGGAAATTGTTGTTCCTGGCCAAGGACCTGTACCAAGTGGGAGCTCATACAGCTGTTGCAGATCATAGTAGGAGTCAATCGAAGTGGTTCTCAAAGTTGTATAGGTTTTTACATGTATCAGATTTCAATGCTATGCACGTCTATCAAATGCAAATCTGAGTGCTACTACAACTACATGATGCTACATTGGTATTCATCCACTTTCCTCTCTCTAATTTGCGCTTTCGTCATTTGTGTAAAAAAGAATCACAGTTCAAAACCATTAAATTTCAATCTTGGTCTTATGCTAAATGTGCACTTGACCGTCCCAAAAAGAGTCTGATTAATCATCCTCTGTGACTGAAATTTTTATGATGAATATTTTGCAACGAATCTATAATCTGCTACTCTTTCTTGCTTTCCCTTCAGTTCTGTTGGTCTCTTTTCAACGTATAATGGTTTTTGTGTTATAAATTCCCTCCTTATAAGAACAAAATCCTATACCCGCAAGGCTGATTGGGTTGATTGAGTAGGTGATCTCTCAAACGGGGCTCTCAGTTTGAAACTCCTGGACATGATTTCTTTGTCGTTAATGTAACACAATGAATTTAGAGATATAGAAAGATCCAATTTACACGTATTGTCCGTTAATGTATCATAACCTATTTGATTGATAGCCAAATGAACCACATTTGGCTGATATGTCAAGAATCTATCCCTAATTTGATTTTATTAGAATAGAAGAAAGTAGACTACTGAATTTGCTTGCACCCTTAATTTCTTACATATTAAGTATATCATCTTTTTCATATGTCAACCACCAATTCTCCAATATTTAGTTTCCCAGTTCTTGAATGCAGAGGAGGTTTCAAAATCCAGCAAAGTCGGTCATTTTTGTTATGTCACGATTTTACTATCTTTAGAAAAATCATTTTTTTAAAAATATTTTAAGTATAAAATAATTTAGAAAATACTTTAGAAAAAGAAAAGAGTGACCATTTAAATTTTTTAAAGAAGATTAAGAAAACTTAATACTGTGTATGACCAAGAGCCTTGGAGTAATTTGTAAAGTTGTTGTCATATGACCAAGACATTATGGGAAATAACCTCCTGTAGAAATGCAAGATAATACTGTGTACCGAGATGCCCCGTTAGTAAAGAAAATCTTGAACTCATAGTTTATTGAAAACAAGTATTATCCTTCATTCCTTCAAAAGTAACTAATATAATTATTTTTTTATTCCACTTATGAACTCACATGATTTTCATGTATGTATCAATATTCATCCACACATATTGCCCTATTCAATAAGGTATTTCTTGAATCCACAAACTTGTGCAATAGAACCCTAAACAAAGTAGCCACCAAACTTGCCATTTGTATATTTCAAATCAACAAAATGAGATCAAATAATTAGCCCCCTTACATGTAAAAATACTAGTTGCATCATCATAAGCATAACTATAAGCATCTTTACAACTACTCTTGAAATATTGTGAGTACTCTGTAGGTTTACATGTGGTGGGATTGTTGAATTCCCCAGTGCAACAATACTCTGGTTTATTAAAAGCAAAACATGCACTTTTACATGCAACAGTTGTACCATCATATGTTTTCAATTGTAATTCTTGAGGACATTGTAAGTTTATGTCTGAAGAACATTGTATATTTGAACAATTTCCAGTTCCACATGAAGGGTAAACTGATATTGGGATATTGAAACCATCAACAAAGCTAACATCATAGAAATCCATTGGACTATCAAGTGTGAACTCTGCTAATGAGGCTGGTGGAGTGCCACCAGCACCATTGCATTGGAGTACTCCGCCGCAGTCTGCTGTGGCACATGTCCCTTTACCTGCAGTGGCGTACGCAGAATTTGGAATAATTAGATAACATCAATCTATTGTCACGATTCGACTTTTTAGGACATGAAAGAAGATTCTTTTAATGAAAAGACGAAAAATGTCCCTACTATTAATGACATAGCAAGGATATCTTGGGTGAAAAAAAAGGTGAAATGTAATACTCCCTTCAATCACTTTTACTTCTCCATTTTAAACTTTGGATGCCCCTTATTTTATTAGCCTTCTTTCTATTTCAACATCAACTTCGTTAGCTAATTATATGATCTTCGCCCATCTTTGACAACCTCTTAAGAGGATTATGTTGGGCCAACCCCCAAGTTTTTTTCTAATAGATCTTGATCCACAATTACATTGAACTTTCCCTACTAGCCACTCGAAGTTGATACAAGTCAAGAAACAGTGATTGATATGAACATATAACCACAATACTTGCGTTTAATTTTAGGTCTTGAAAAATAATTTGAGGAATAATTAACAAATGTTGAGCATGCAAAACATGAAAAAAAATGTTTTTTTTTTCTTTTGATAAGTTAAAAGTGACCAGTAAAAGTACCGCGGCCTGACACAACTTACGTACTCGTGTTTAACTACCTGATGTGTCAAATTGGCAGTGGGTTCGTGCCCAGAAACGACCTGACCAACCAGTAGATGCATCAATTTGTGTAGTCTCATATGGTTGCAATTCTAAACCTCCGCTAAATAGCAAGGGATGACCTGCTCCTGATAAACTTCCTGGCCATATTGTCACATTACAATTGTTTTTCAATGTGAAAACTGCACAATCTCCACCTGTATATATAACCGGAATATTATTATAGACCACGTATAATGTAGCATAACATGAAAATTTGATTTCGTATAAAAAATAATTAAGTATGACTGTTATATAGAAATATGAGGACTCTGCTCACCGATGAAAAAGAGAAGTCGAAGGATGAGAACTAGGTGGAAATGTGATTCCATATTGATGATTATAAACTAATTTCCTTTTTGACAATTCGGATGTTGAAATTGATGGTGTATATATAAGTTTGAGAGATGAAGTGAACTTAGATGTTGTATCTATAAATGAATTTTAGACAAGATTAGCTTCACATGCCTAGATAGATCTATTTATTTTATTTTATTTGGTAAAATCGTACAAAAATAGAAGTGATTGATTTTGACTAAGTAAATGAAATCAATGGTAGATTTTATTTTCACCAATTAATTTATATTTTAAGTGTATTGTTACAACGTCCTTTTATAGTTAAAAATGATTGAAATTCTTAAAGATCAAGAGAATTGTTTGGGATCTTTTTCCAATGTTTTTTTTAATGAGGTTATTAATTATATTACATTTTTAGGAGAATGATTTAGACATAATTTAAAAGATAAAAGATCTTTTCATTTATTTCCTTAAATATTTTTCTTAAAAGATATGTGACATTTCAATTCACTTGATATAGGTCTGAGTAAGTATCTCGTTTGAATTGACTTATTAAGATGTTTTTAAGGCAAAATAATTTTTAAACAGTTTTAAAGTGTTTGAGAAAAGTTAAAAATGCTTATAAATATTTATTTTAAAGTTAAAATAATAAAAATAAATTAAAGGCCATAAATTAAAAATTTTGACTTATGACTTTTAACTTATAAGTAAACAGGACTAAGTAATTAATTGAGAAAGTTATCGCTAACACATTAATTATCCTTTACATTTTCTGGTCTTTCCTTTTTTTTTTTTAATTATTTAAAGGGATAATTACCTTTTGAGGGCTTTTTAAAAAATATTTACTACTTTCAAACGTATTCTTTTATTTATAGAGTACTTTAATATACCATATTTTAAGAAAATGTTTAGCACTTATAATCACTATATCATGTGTTAAAAAGTAAAGTATAAGTGTCTTAAAATATATTAAGTTTATTTTGGGTAAAAGATTATATAGCTATAAATGATATATATATCTTCTAAATATGATATATTTAGATAATTTTTTCTATTTTAAATTTCTCTTCATTTTTTTTTTTTTAATATTGTCATGTGGAAATATCTCGAGGCTTACAACTAAAGTTGTTTCAACATCACATGATTACTTGATTTTGCATCAATTGCTGATAAAGTAAAAAATATTTTGGTATGCTTTTATGAAAATAGAGAAAAATGAAAATACTTTTACGGATTACTCATGTCTCAAAGGCATTTGATTGAATTTGTGAAAGAAAAGTAGTAATATTTCCATGTAAAAAACTAAACAAATTCTCAACTTTTTTTTTTCCCATCATGTATGAATTATTTTTTATAAAGTAATCATGTCAACTTTTTAGAGTGTAATAACTAGAAATTCAATAATTAAGTTTATATTTGAGGTGTTGTTATACCTTTAATGAAATATATTAAAGTATCATTATGAACTATAGCGTGAACAAATGTATTATGTGACATCTAATATAGTTCATAATGATATTAGATATATACGTTTGAGATATAATTATATGATATGTTTGTACCTTGTAAAATCAAAACTAATATAAATAAAAATCAAATCTAGTCATTCTTCTTCGCATGTTCATATAAGCATTTTTAATTCAATCAATATTGTCACAGTAATCATCAATTACAACATACAATCATTATCATCATTCACCGTTATAAATCATCAACCACCATTATTAACTATCACTATCATTCACTAAAACTATTAGTAGATGCCACCAGCTATCACCATCAACCACTTATTAGCAACTACGTACTATCATCGCTACCTACCACTCACAACACCACTATTAGCCAATTATATCATAGATATATCGATTCATAATTTTTTTTTTTTTTGTAAAGATTGATAATCGCATAAATTTGAACTAATGTAATGACATCAAAATGATAAATATTCACTAAGTTCTTATCACTAATGTTTAATTACCATTTCGAAGCGACCATTTTGCATTACATAATATTAATGTTGGCCATTATTACTATAACAATGATATTAAGGCAAGCTAAATAAATTATTATAACAATTAAGTGAACACTTAATTTGATTTAGTAAATATTTCTAATTGTGCAGAGTTGCTAAGCTCCCCTGCACAATTTATTGATCTATAGACTTCTCCTTCACCACGCCTACTAGAATCAATCTAGTATCTCCTACTTTCCAAATTCACCTGAAAAAGAGAAAAACAACAGATAACTTTCTAATAAAAATAAAAATAATTTGGAAGCGTGAGAAGGAGAAACGAAAGGAAGATTACAAGGCATAGAATCGAACCCTCACTATTAAAGTAAAAGTTCTGATAGTCAATAATTGTACATCTAAGATTCTTCCTAACAAAAACGGCAAATATAACTTCCTTCACAAACACAAATCATTTTCTTTTACAAACTTTTAAAATTGCTCAAAATAGACATTCATTAACTATCGTCAAAACTAAATAGGATAAATGCACAAGTACCCCTTAGATTATAATCGAAATTTCAGAGATACACTTTAACTAAATTAAGGTCCTATTAATCCATGAACTTAATTTTTTTTGGTAAATTTTTGCATGTTTTGTCTTACGTGGCACACTCTGTGACTCCACGCAATTGAGGCGCGTGGGAGATATTTGGTGCATCGTAAGCTAAAAAGATGCGCAAAATTACCAAAAAAAATAAGTTCAGGGATAATAGGACCTTAGTTTAGTTAAATTGTGTCTTTGATATTTCGATCATAGTCTAAAGGATACTTATTCATTTTTACAAACTAGATATTCAAAAATTTCTCGATAGCTCAAAATTGCACTATTATTTCTATTTAATTCTTATACTAGTCATTTTTTCTTCGAAATAACATTTGGTCGAAAAACATTTTGCAGAAAACGTTCGATAAAAGAGAGGTGGATAGATTTTTACATTGTTCAAAGTTGGCAGTGCACTTCTCAGGAAGCTGTACGGCCATGTTTCGATCAACACCAGAAATAGGAGGGCCATTGATAAGAACACAGAGACATGGCTGCCCTAAAGCCTTGATCGAAGCGCAGCACGCTTCGCTCGGTGGTACCGAACTGAACGGAACCACCGATGCCCTACAAGGTATCAGCTGAATCAACGCTGAAAAGAATGTGCTGCTACAGGGATGACCGTTGCTTCCTTTCACCGCAATACTATTGTACGTTATTACTAATATCAGCATTACTAAAGTACGACTAGTCATTTTATTTTTTAAAAATATTTTTTGAATTGATACTATAGTTTGTGGAAAATGGAGTGACACTTGAATTGTATATATAGGGAGTTAAGTGTGCTTTAATCGATGAGCTAACTAACTCTTTTACTAGCTATATGATCATGATCTTTTTGCTTGTAAATAAGTGGTTAAAATTCAATTCTCATGACTCACCTTCATCATTTGAACTGATTATATATGATAAGAGTCATTAGAGCTTTGCAAATACCTTAAGTAAGTTGGAAATAAAGGATTATAAGTTCATCCGAAAATTAATTGTCTTATTTCACTATCTTAATATGTAATTTAATGAGATATCTTGGTCTATCCTAAACGTAGTGACATAGCCACATGTAATTGGACACTTTATCGAGAAAAAAATCATATACAAATAAAATAATATAGAAAATAATTAAATAATATATTTTGTATACCTTTAACATAACAAGCTATTGTAACTCAATAATTCACCTCTTTGAAATGTGATAGTGCTCGTGCGTTTGAATTTTATTAATTTTGCTTTTTTAAAAAGTGTTAGCCAATAAAATATTCTTACAATAAATTAGTAATTTTAATTTATGAATATTAAAAGATCCATTACAGTTAAGGTTCATGATTTAGATGTAAAATAAAGGTGAAAAAACCCATTATTTAACTCTTTTTGGAAAATAATTTTTAAAGGTTTCAACAAATTATTCACAAAATAACACCATGTTTATCAAGTTAAGTAACCCACCTAATATTGTGTGGTACTACAAAACAAAAGAAAAAAAAAGAAAACGATTACGGACTAATTAAATTTGTTATCCACGTGGCGACCATCGATTTGTTACTTTAGAATCACCTAGATCGACATCCGGGTAATCACCTCTTCTCCAATCTCCATCGTTAACACTAAATCTAAATCAACGGGTTAGATTCACTCTCCATGCCAAAAAAATTAGAACACTTCTCCAAATTTTCAATCTTCCCGCCTTTCTCTCTGTATAAATCCTCCATTACCCTTTCGCCCAAATTCACCATTAAAACAGAACTCGAGTTTTCATCAGTAAAAAGCAAAATGGCCCGTACCAAGCAGACTGCTCGCAAATCCACTGGTGGAAAGGCACCAAGGAAGCAGCTAGCTACCAAGGCCGCAAGAAAGTCAGCTCCGGCTACCGGAGGAGTGAAGAAGCCTCACCGTTTCAGGCCAGGAACTGTAGCTTTAAGGGAAATCAGGAAGTACCAGAAGTCTACTGAGTTGTTGATCAGGAAGCTTCCTTTTCAGAGGCTAGTGAGGGAAATCGCTCAGGATTTCAAAACAGATCTGAGGTTTCAGAGCAGTGCTGTGGCTGCTCTACAAGAGGCTGCTGAGGCTTACCTCGTTGGTCTCTTTGAAGATACTAATCTCTGTGCAATTCACGCCAAGAGGGTCACTATCATGCCCAAAGATATTCAGCTTGCTAGGAGGATCCGTGGAGAAAGGGCTTAAGAAGAAACTTTTAACGGTTAAAGCTGATTAGGGTTTGTCTGCTAGGGTTAGTGGCGTAAATCCTAATAGATAATTTTAGTTGAAGTAGGTGTAAACTGTTGGTTTACCAGTTTCTGGATCTGATTAATGAAAATTTGTACCTTTTTCTTTTTAATCTAAGATCTTGCCCTTACGTCGGTACTGATGTATTCCAATGATTAACGATTGAAGCAATACACAGTGTTTCTTGATTCGAGTTTTCTTAAAATTTTGATTTAAATAGATCTATTAATTTACAACTGCACACCAATATAGTAACTGCAATAGTCTCATATATGGCTTTGAGCTTTCGGCAAATTATCTTTTTGTTATGACAATTCATTACAACCATTTTGCATTTCTTGTTCTGCATAATAACTTGTATATGCTGGATATGGAACCTCAGTTCTACATTTACTCAGAACTCATGTTCTACATTTTCAACTTCTAGTTTAGTACTATTCTGAAATCTGATTAATGAAATTTGTAGTTCAGTTTGTTTCAATTAAAGCTGCATCGCATGCTATGGTCTGGATTATATTTTACATTTCCTTCTT